GTTAATTATAAAAACAACATATATAATTGCCATCGCAATTAAAAAATATCAAAAATTTTAGAAATTGAAATGGAAAATCTATTCCAATATATTTTTCAGATCAGAACCGGTGAAAATAGAAATTTCTGATCCAATTTCCACCCGAGTTAGGATGAAACTTATCTAAAACAATAAATAGTTTGACTTGATCAACTTTTATTTAGGACAAGAAACACCTTAACTAAAAACAAAAGACATTCCTCTTTCTTAGTTTTCATGTCCAAAATGTGGAAAATTCAAATGTACTTTTTATTTATTGATTATTATTATTATTATTATTTTTTTGATAAGAATATTCAAATATAATTTAGTTAGTTAATGAATGAGAAGACAAATTGGCACAATATCCGGTCCCCATATGCTGTATGCACATGCAATTCAACTAACTACTTTGGTTATGCATATTATCTTTTCCTCTAATAGTAACAAAATTGTTTTTTTAATAAATAAAACAAAAGTATGATATTTCGGATTTTTAAATATTAAATTAATATTAGGGTAAAAATATATATGACGTGTGAGTATTTTATCCAAAAAGCTAAGTCGTCGCTAATTACTAATTAGTATGTGGTCTCCACGACTTTTTTCTCTATCTTGCATTTTTCTAAATTTCTTAATTTTAATTCTATGATATTTGTTATATCATAATAACTTAAAATATATACGAAAATAAATAATAATAATAATAATAATAATAATAATAATAATAATAATAATAATAATAATAATAATAATAATAATAATAATAATAATAATAATAATAATAATAATAAATAAATAAATAAATAAATAAATACATGAAATGATGATTTGATATTGAGCTGCCACTACTTTGTAAATGTAAGTATATGCTATTTTTCTCAATCATATGAATAAATGATGATCCATCACACAACTATAAATATTAATACATGCACCTAACTATTTTCAATAAATACATATATATCCCCACTCCATTAAATGATTTTATGATTAGTTTGCTTGGTCAAATACGCGACACTAGATAAAATTATGGACCGAGTTTTTTTTATATTTTATAAGATATTTGATAAATACATGACACTTTTTAGTAACGTAGGATATTTTATTTAATAAATTAAAACTTAGTATCAACTCTATCTTTTTATTTGATACATTTATTTTACCAGAATATTACATAATTAATCATCAAAGCACGAATTTATCAAATTTTGAGCTTAACCGAAACTAGTGCCTAGTGCAGACACTCGGGTTTTTTTTTTTTTTTTTTTTTTTTTTTTTTTGAATTTGTGAATCTTTCCTAGGTTAAAATTTCCAAATTTTTTGTATTATTAATCCAAAAAAATCAGCCATAAACTCTTCGATCGGAGTGGAAACCTCTATTTTTTCCAATTTTGAGACAAAATCAATGGAGAAGTTTTGAATTTAGATGGTTTCCCAAATTTCATTCTAAAAGTTAAAAAACCTAATTTATACTTAGAAACTCAACATCACTATATGTAATTAAATTTAAATATAATAAGAGTCAAAATGTAGGAATTTTACTTACAACCATAAAATTAAAGAGATAATGATAAATGCGTGGAATGAAATTAAAAAAAAAATGACCTGCATTTAAAGTCGTCATATATTTATCGTTTCAGAATACTTATTGGATTGAAGTACTTATTCGAGTTAATAGAATAAATTTACTCATATGTATTCTATACTAATCGTAGATAATGTAAATGAATCAAGGTCGATTTTTACGCACCATTGTTCAAGTTGATTTGATTATGTATCGAATTTTTAAAATATTATTTGAGTTTTAGCTAAATATGAATCGAACTCCAGGTAACCTAAATTTATTTCGTAAATATTATATCATTTTTTAATCGAACTCGAGCTCGACTTTTCAAGACAAACTTAACACACAACTTATCTAACAAATTGTTTTTTTTTTTTTTTAATTTTATTAATAATATTATTAACAAAATAAACATTCAAACGAACTTTCTTGATCGAATCCATTCTCATCTCAGCAAGTCAATTCACAGAGGAAAAGACCAAAATGCAGGCCATTTTTTTTATTCACGAACTCCCCATCTCTCTCTCTCTCTAGATGTTGTTTCTTTCTCACTCTAAAAAAAAAAGAGAGTTGAATAATCTTCCAATCAACTCTTCTCTGTCTCATCATCGGACAAAGATCCACTTTGGTTTTGCCTCCCCCCATTTTCAGTAAGAGATGAGCAGAGGGAGGAATAATACCAAGTTCACATTTATACTTTTTATTATTATTAATATTATTATTATTACACCGTCGAGTACTTTCCTCCGGTTCGTACAGTGCCAGCTGCCCGGCGAGCTAAGTCCGCCGCAGCTGCCGAGCCCCGCCTCCCTCGATCTCCTCACTGAAATTGCTTACACCCGCCTCGAAAATCTCACCTACAATCTCCTCTCCACTAAATTCGTCCAAGATTACAGCTTTTGCATTCAGGACCCGTAATTATTCATTAATTAATTAATCCCTCTTCTTTTTTTTTTTTTTTTTTTTTTTTTATTTTTTATTAATTTTTTTCTTCTTCTTGATTTTGTAGGCAAGCTGAATGGAATGCAGCTTTCAATTACTCTTCAGATGTGAGTTTCTTGACTGCTTGCATGGTCAAAACCGGAGGTAATTAATTTTACGCGTTTTCGTTAATTTACCCGTTAGTTCGTCGGTTAAGACAATGATGGACACATTCTTGATTCCGTAAGATTCCGATATGTATTAACTGAAAATTGACGAAAATGACCAAAAAATGTTGAATTTGTAAAACACTAGGGACTAAATCTGTTCATTTTTGGAAACAATGGGACTAAATGTGTAATTAAGGTAAACTTGAGGGACTAAAGTGTTATTTTCCCAATTTGATTCATCAAAGGTTATGAATTCCATCAAGACAAGAATACATGAGGGCCCTTTTGTTTCTATGTTGTTATAATATATGGCACACAATGTTTCTTGATTATTACATTACACCAAGTAGTTTTCGTAAATTTTCGGAATTGGAGCCGATTATTACAATTCTTAAATGAAGCGAATTTAATCAAATTTAATCAACCATATACCAGTTAATTTATTTAGCTTTATTCAATGGGCAGATGTTACTCAAAGATTGTGTACAGCAGCAGAAGTTGCTATATATCTCGATAACTTGCAAAGAGGGGGTGGTTACCTAAAACCCAATCGGAACTGTAATTCGTCGGGTTGGGTTTCGGGCTGTGAGCCCGGTTGGGCATGTCGAACCGATACCGAAGAGCCCGTCGACCTAAAAAACTCACACTATATACCTCCAAGAGGATCTAATTGTGCCTCGTGTTGCGAAGGGTTTTTTTGTCCGTACGGTATTACTTGCATGATACGTAAGTCTTCGAATAATCTTTCGCATTTTTCGAATATTAGCGTATATATTTCGAAAATCAAGAAAATCGAACGGCGGTTATAAATTTTCTTTCGAACTTGTTTGTAGCATGCCCGTTGGGTTCGTACTGCCCACTCGCTTCACTCAACAACAATACAGGACGATGCGAACCGTAAGCATTATATATAATGGGTTTTTTTTTCGTTTTTTTTTTGGGATAAAATAACATATTAATTGATAGAAATCGTCAGATATGCTTACCAACTGCCAGCTGGGCTGCCAGATCATACTTGTGGCGGTGCAAATATTTGGGCAGATGCTCGAACGAACACTGATGTTTTTTGCTCTGCTGGTTCGTATTGTCCGACGAGTACCGAGAGACAACCTTGTAGTAGTGGGTACTGATTTCTTTTACCCTCTAAAATTTATTTTTGACACTCGTTTTTAGTATTTCTTATTAATGTTTTTTTTTTCGGTCGTAAAATCTCAGGAATTACTGTCCGATGGGATCTACAGATGAAAAGCGTAAGTTTGTCGATAAAATTAATGTTTTTATTATAGATAATAATTAGCTGTTTGATATCTTATTTACCACTGTAATTATAGGATGCTTCAAGTTGACTACATGCGATCCTAAAACGGAAAGTCAAAACATTCATGCGTATGGAGTTATGCTCATCGTAAGTTATATTCGTTATCGATCGTTTACTTCAAGAATTGAAATTAAAGATTCGATTTTTTTTTTAACCAACTGTTTTTTGCAGGCTGCATTAAGTACCCTTTTGGTAATTATATACAACTGTTCCGACCAAATCATTACAACCCGCGAAAGGAGGTACGCCAAATCAAGAGAAGCAGCCGTAAGAACCGTGCGTGAAAAGACGCAAGCACGCGCCAGGTGGCGCTCCGCTAAGGAAGCCGCCAAGAAACAAGCCATGCAATTATCCTCCCAATTTTCCGGCAGATTTTCCAAGCGGTCCCCATCGGATTTAGACATGGCCAAAATTTTGAACCGAACGGAAATCGAGGAAACACCAACACACGATTCAAAAAGAACAGAGCTCGGTCATCATTTGGACATCGCATACACAAAAGACGACGATCAAATCAGCGTCGCCTCTTCCGATTATTCCGAGCCCGCGAAGAGAAACACCAAAAAGAATAAAAACACGAAAGAAAAAGAAAAAGATATCAACACGCACAGTCAGATATTCAAGTACGCGTACTCGCAGCTCGAGAAAGAGAAAGCGCAACAGCAGCAAAACAAGAACCTAACTTTTTCCGGCGTAATTTCAATGGCTACCGATAAAGACACGAAGAAAAGGCCTCTGATCGAAATCGATTTCCGGGACTTAACCGTCACTTTAAAAGGCAAGCGTAGGACCATTTTGAGGTCCGTTAATGGGAAAATAAAACCGGGCCGAATCACGGCTATTATGGGCCCGTCTGGTGCTGGAAAAACGACATTTCTTTCTGCTATAGCTGGAAAAGCCGTCGGATGCACTGTGAACGGCACTATTTTAATTAACGGGAAATCGGTTTCGATTCACTCATACAGAAAAATCATCGGTTTTGTTCCGCAAGACGATATCGTGCATGGCAACTTGACCGTGGAGGAGAATTTATGGTTTAGTGCTAGGTGCAGGTATGCGATGCTTAATATATATACGTGTTTATTAACACAATGAATTGAAGTCCGATTTTTGAACTTTTTTCGCATTTTCACAATTAAAAAAAAAAATCATTTGAATTCCATTTCAAAAATGCATTTACGTTTAAAATTTTGAAGACTATCTGCAGATTTACCGAAACCGGACAAGGTTCTTGTAGTCGAAAGGGTGATCGACTCGTTAGGGTTACAGACAATACGAGGATCGGTAGTTGGAACTGTTGAGAAGAGAGGTATTTCTGGCGGACAAAGGAAACGAGTGAATGTCGGAATCGAGTTAGTTATGGAACCTTCGTTGTTGTTCTTAGACGAACCTACGTCTGGTTTGGACAGCTCGTCTTCGCAGCTACTTCTTAGATCGCTTAGAAGAGAAGCTCTCGAAGGTGTAAATATCTGCATGGTTGTCCATCAACCGAGGTAATAAATTTTCTGATTTCCGATTTTTCTGATTTATTTTTTTGGAACAGAGTTGGAATGCATATTAGATTCCGATTTTAATTTCCGAAAAATTTCAATTATTTTCCGAATAACACTTATAAATATCAATATTATTATGTATTGTATAATATATGAGACTAAAAAGACGGAATTTTTGAATTCCGGCAATATATATCCCAAAAGTTTTTTCATTCCGATTCCTGAAATTCCTATTTTTTCCTGGAATGTAATTGGAATTAGTTTTTTCACTTCCGATATTTTTTTCTTACTTAAATCCGTTCGATTTGCACTCCTATCGATCTACATTAAATTAATTGCTGCATTAATTCTCCATTTGCATTCATTTTGGCAGCTACGCATTGTTCCAAATGTTCGACGATTTGATACTTCTAGCAAAAGGAGGCTTAACAGTCTACCACGGGCCCGCAAAAAAAGTCGAAGAGTACTTCACAAGTCTTGGCATAAACGTCCCTGACCGAGTCAACCCTCCCGATTATTTTATCGATATCTTGGAGGGAATGATTAAGACAAGCTCGAGCTCGGGTGTGAGCTATACAGAACTTCCGGTTAGATGGATGATGCATAACGGCTATCCTATTCCACACGATATGAGAATTAACACCGAAGAATCTCTTACGCCTACAGTTAATATTGATAACGAAAATGCCGATGATCGTGTTTTTTCTGATTCTGCTGCTGAGGAAAAATCGTTTGCTGGAGAAGTTTGGCAAGATGTTAAAGCTAACGTGGAGAAGAAACGCGATCGGATAAGGCATAATTTTCTCAGGCCGACTGATTTGTCGTATCGGAGAACTCCCAACGTTTTCTTGCAGTACAAATATTTTCTTGGAAGGTACTTTCTTTGTCTCGTAATATGTGCCGTTTAAGTTTTTTATGCACGTACTTCGACAGTTTATATATATATATATATATATATATATATCTATCTATCTATA